CCAAATGCATTTAGAACAAACACAACCAATCAGATTCGACACCGTAATATTTTAAATTCCTTCCTGGCTTCACTTCCTGACCCTAAATCCTTACTCCTATGAATCTAATAACATTGTTGAGGGAGCCCAGCCGGCACTGTTGAGTAAACACTGGACTACTAACTACAAGTGTGGTTTAAAAACCACAGGCCACTTAAGAAAGGAAAGGCTACCTGCTCCCACTAAATTTACAGCAGCTTCAAATCAGAATTTACTTGGAATTTCTAAGTGACATACTTGAAAATTTAAAATGCATTTTGAGCATACAAACACAACTAAATCCTATACCACAATTGCATATTTCAAGTTTCTTTCCTGGTTTTTCCCTCACCAAAACTCGTGTTACTTAAAACTACACTCTAGTAGCCCATATATTTCAGGCTAAGCTTTTCCAGTTTTTACAACTACTATAAACTTTTCTAAAAATCCATCTCTAACAAGCCTCATGTAAAACATGCAAAGTTCCTGGGCCACACTTGGGAGCAGCAGACCTACAGTGATGCGTGGGAATGCCTCCATCATTTCCACTTACAATAATGGCACATTAAGCAACATACATAATCAAGACTAAAATAATGACATTTATTAACAAATATATACAACACAAAGGTTCAATTCCTTATAAATGCTACTTCTACATAAGCAATTATACAAAATATTTACAAGTATGTACACAAGACTCCCACCTGTTTGTAACCTCTGGTCCATTTGTGCTACCTCACATCTGCAAGATAAACTTAAATGTTAATATTTAAATATTTAAGTACTTCAATCTTCTTGGGTTGGGGGATTTTATTTGCAAGTTACCACTAAATGGCTCTTGGAGATGGAATAATGCGAGAAACTTTCAATAAAGTGCTGTTTCAGATCAACTCAGTCCTTCGTTTTCTTCTCTTAGACAGGCAACCACAGTTCATAAGGGCTTTTTTTCTTATTCACTTTTGGTAATCCTGAAGAAGTCTCTTCGCCAGCAGCTTTAACTCCGGAATTCTGTAAGAGAACAAATTCTTATGTCAAGTTCTCAAACACAACCATTTAACAAACGTGGTAACTCTACGATGGAGGCTTCACCCAAATGCAGCGTGGACCTCATCTATGACCTGATTCAACCAAATCATTAATGTAAGGGAACTACAGGGAAAACTGCAGGTAAGAGAGTAATGAGTACGGCATGATACTTGGGTTTTGATGGCTTGCTTTTTATGCCCTTTTGGATTTAAGGGTATGTATGTATGTATATATATATATATTAGTTATTTTTAAAGATTACTGGGCCTGGGTGCTCAGGACCATAGTCTCAGGAGATATTCAGTCAACTGGCATAATTGTCCACAGAAGACAATGTCCTATATCCTAATTTGGTGAGCAGTGACCGGAGCCATATATGAGAGGCCATCTAAGATACAAATACTGGCCTCTCTCCATTCAGAGGAAAACAGTAATGAGACCAGAAGAATTAAAGATGGTGCCCAACTACCACTAACTGTTCTGGGAAGGATGACATTAGACAGATCTGGACAGAGTGGGAGGAAAACATGTAAAACTAGGCTTCCAGGTCAGTTAAAAACCTTTGGGGTCTTTACCCTTCCTGTCTGGAACTGAACTCACTCGTGTTAGAATCAACCATTTTAAGATCAAAGGGGCAGCATTAGGGCCAAATTCAGAGGACTAGAAAAGCAGCCACAATGGAAACAGGAGACAGGGAGGATGTGGGATAGGCGATGGCACACTAAGGGGATTGCAATAGCTGAGGCTGGATCAGAACGTATATTAATTGTTGAATCCAAAATTATAATAGGCTCTGTAAATCTTCACCTAATTGATAATCACACACATATATTTATTTATATATCAGTAGATAAAAAAGTGATGAGATACTGAAAACAATGGAGATGTCAGATATGGAAGCCCATTAAACTGGTCACTGGGAAGAGTAGCATAAGTAATGTGAAAGTATAGAAAATATAAACGTGAACTATTTACAAAGAGGTACAACAA